AGAGAATAGAGAAAATGTATTCTCTTAGGTACAATTTTCATTATAACTGAAACTCCTATTTATAGGAAACTTCTGATGGCACAACCGTAATAATACAATTACATCAGGGACAAAATAGTCATTCATATATATTATTTTATTATAAATATTTCACAACACTCCCCCTTGAATGACTATTTCTAAACATATTTTAACTGATTTGCATAAGGCCCAATCTGCACATCTTCAAGTATATCTTGTGGCCATCAGGTACCGTTGCTTCAGCATGTCAGGAAAACCCGGTGGGACAAAACCTGATCATCTTGAAATCATAACATTGCTTCCTCAGGAAAACCCTGTGGGACAAAATCTGAGCATTGTGGTATCACAACATTGCTCCCCCTCAAATAGATCATCTTTAATGGAGTATCCACGTGTTGCCTCGTTAAAACCTTGTCAAGAAAACCCAGTGGGAAAAAACTTGATCGAATGAAAAAGAGTACAACTACTCCAATCTTTTCTCATCATCATGAGGAATCATATCAATTATCCAGTAGTCCTCATTATACCATGAATGTGCCTCGTTAAAACCTTATTAGGAAAAATCCAGTGGGACAAAATCCCAATGAAAGAAAAAGAGTACACTATTCATGTGAATACGTCATCCCTGTTGTCTCATTAAAAACCTTGCTAGGAAAACCCAATGGGACAAAACCTTAGCTAAGGAAAAAAGAGTACAACGCGTATTCCATATATTCACCATAATAACTTGGCCATAATTTTCATGAATATCGTATAAATTCATTCAGATTTTCCGATACTGGTGGTATTCATGATAATATGACATATCATGTTTTTGTGCAACTTTCATTCGTAAACTCATTCTCATCATCAATCGATTTCAATGGTTTTACTGCAAATAGTTCTCAATATTCACAATTGAGCTGATTTCATTCTCATCAATATCATTTATATAGCGCTATTCATTTGTTTGTGTCGACACATATTCATTTCCATTCTTCCTCGTAATATATTGAGATATCTATTATCAATTAATTTCATCGATAATATATATATGCCTCCTTTCATCACTTATTTGGGGAATTTCAATTTGCACAATACCAATTCTTCCAGCGTATCATTCCACCATCATATCATTTCATATATTTAACCACTGTTAGTATCATTCAGTTTATGATTTGCACACTTTCAGTGTGATGCATATATCATTTTCAAAATTTCAATAATTCATTCTCCCCTCATCTTAACAGATCTCTGATCTGTATTTTCAGTTTTGAGTTTCTTGAGGGGAGTTCATATAATCTCCATTTTGTTCTCGATTTCAACATATAATAGGAGGACTTTGAACTCATATCACTTGTAATGTGCACAATTTTCTTTCATGAGTTCATCATCTGAGCTGATTATATTACTAGCTTCATCACTTTCATATGACACTTATTTTCATTCTTTCACAACCATCTTGTATCATTCTTTGATCAAACCATCTCGTAACTTCCGGTTACGGTTCACACACATGTGACTATCTAGTGGATCCATATTATCTAGTAGCACACATGGAGGGGTAGTGGGCCCATATATATCGTACCCCTTTCATACTCAGTTTGATCAAATATCGATTCACAAATATTTAGCTAGTAATAATTTCACCAATCGAGAACAAAACATCTCATGATCAGTTAATCATGTAAACCATCATCATTTATATCAGTAAACATCACAATAATTCATTGTGACCCATTAAACATATCACATCATCTTTCGTCGGCAATAAATGCACTTCAAGTGCAGATTCTGACCCACAATATTTAAATTCAGAACCGTATCACATGCATATCAATCTTTCTGTCAGACAAACTCTTTGTTTTTAGAGTCGTATAGCATACGCATCATTCCTATAAATTATCATGCATTCCATTTAATCTTTACGAACAAAGGTCCGAATTTACATATGGATTTGGCACTCTCAAATATCCGTAAATATTATTCTTTTGTTCCAGTAAATATCATAAAAAGAATTTATCGGTCTCGAATAGAAAGATTGAGGGTGCTAATGATTAATGATATTCTAGGCAATATTCGATGGTTGATTGAAGCAAAAGTTTGATTGTCGGGAGAGTTTCCAAATTCATATAAATATATGCCAGGTATGGGTAAGAGTACTTTTGCAAAGAAACGAAGAGCAAAACGATTAGGTGGATGCTTCAAATGCGCTCGATGGACTTGTGACACACGATGTAAATCAGTGGGGTTCGTGTCCAAAAATCGAGAAGATAAAATAGCATTTATAAAGGATGGATTGAGTAAGAAGTCTATGGATCAAACGATTCACCAGATTCTTGAGACACATCCTAGCGGGTATGTGCATCGTGAGCTTCTGTCTCTATGGATTCGTTTAAAAAATGAAGAGGAACATTATAGTCTCAAAAATATTGTTTTAAAAGATCAAGTTTGTAAAACTAGTCTTTGTTAGTGTGAAAAATCATACTAATGAAGTTTAGTAGTTGCACTATAATTCTCAGAGAATCTTATAGCTGCCGACAAATAAGATTATTTAAAACAAGGTAATAAATTTCTTCAGTCGATCAAAACCATATGTGTTCTTGGTGGTTCTAGACTGGTAAGTTTTTCTCAAAATGTTGATATTGTAAGTCAGTTAGTAAGGGATATAGGAAATCAAAAAATCAATTTACTGTATGGAGGGACTAGCATCACTTTCTTTGTAATTTTTTATTGGCTGGAAAATGTTTTGAGATAGAAGTGAAAAGTATCATACCTTTTCATAGAGCTTCAACAAGG